AGATATTTGTATTGCCTTTAGTTTCATTATAGATGACAAAATACATGGAATTAGATTTCTTTTTCCCATGATTTGGTTGTGAGTTGTTTATTTCAGCACCAGATGGTATTTTCTGATTAAAATTATTTAAAGGTGATTTGATTCTTAAAACCCTTTTTGATATCACTGGATCACTTTGGACTGTGAGTCCTATGTGCTCTGTATTGAGAAGAGATATAAAGTGAAGCTTTGAAAAGTTGACACCAAACATAGGAAGTGAAGCAATCCCTGCCCCTCAGACTAATAATCTATTGGTTTTAAGATGACTTTTAGTTTGGGGGAGTATATAATTTCCTTGAAATTGCTAGTCTTAGAAAAAGCCACAGTTATTTTTCCTAGGTTACTATGTTGTCTTCATTTCTAATTTTGACGTGAGAGCAAAGAACAGATTGTGTCCAGCCCCAGTTACATTTATAACTTCAAACAATTGTTCTCTTACAGACTTTAGCAAACAAAAAATTTTTAGAGAAAAGACTTTTCAAGTCTTCTCCCCAGCCTTCCCAATTATAGTTGACGATTTAAGCTGTAGCAAGTGTGTTCGAGTGCAGTCTTTGGTAAAGTAGCTTGTGTTTCATAATAAATTTTGGGGGATTTGAACTATACCAGAGAGAATTCATGATACCACTCTACAAAGTCTGTTGAACAGCTTACTCTTATCAGTGAACTTTTGAGGCTCAGGAGTATCAATTCCTCTAGTATGAACGCAAGATCATGAAAATAAACTATGAACCAGGGAAACCCAATCTCCACCAAAATCCTGGCAGTTTTGTTTTCAAAAATGAAAAAGTTGATCTTAAAATTCATGTGGAGTTGCATAGGACTCTGAATAGTCAAAATGATCTTGAAAAAGAAAGATAGAGCTGGAGGACTCATGTTTCCCAATTTTAAAAACCTACAGGCATTGAAACAGTGTGGTACTGGAGTAAGGGTAGGCATATGGACCAATAGAGTAGAATAGAGAACCTAGAAACAAACACACACATCTGTAGTCAATCGGTGTTTGACAAGGACACGAAGACCACTCAATGGGAGGAGAATTTCTTCAACACATGGTGCTGGGACAACGGGATATCCACATGCAAAAGGAAGTTGGGTCCTAACCTCATACCATATACTAAAATGAACTCAACATGGATCAAAGACCCAAGTGCAAGAGCCAAACTCTTAGAAGAAAACAAAAGGCTAAATATTCATGCCCTAAGTTTTGTTAGTGGATGCTTAGAAACAACATCAAAAGCATAAGCAACTAAAGGAAAAGTAGGTAACTTGGACTTCATCAAAGTTGAAAACTTTTGTGCAGCAAAGGAAACTATTAACAAAATAGAAAGACAGTCTACAGAATGGAAGAAAATGATTTTCAAATCTAATAAGGACCTGGTATGTATACTATATTAAAAAAAAAACTCTTACAACTCAGCATTCAAAAGACAAACAATTCAGTTGAAATATGGGCAACAAATATATGAAAAGGTGGTCAGCATCATTGGTCATTAAGTAAATGCAATTTAGAATCACAATGCGATAGGTACCTCTTCACACCCATAATGGTGGCTATAGTTTTTTTAAACCCCAAACAAACAGAAAATAAGTGGTGATAAGGATGCACAAAAATCAGAACTCTCATATTTTTGCTGGTGAGAGAGTCAACTGGTGTAGCCACTTTAGGAAAGTTTGGCAATTTTTCAAAAAGTTAAATATAGAATTACCATATGATGCAGCAATTCTACTTCTAGGTACATACCCAAAATAATTGAGGACAGGTATTCAAACAAATACTTGCACACAAATGTTCATAGCAGCACTATTCACAGTTGCCAAAAGATAGAAACCACTCAGACATCTATCAATGGATGAATGGATAAACAAAATGGCATGTCCATAAAAAGGAAGATTTTTCAGCCATGAAAAGGAGTAAGCACTGACAATGTAGGACCTCAAAACATCATGCTAAGTAAAAGAAGGCAGACACAAAAGGTCACATATTGTGTGGCTACACACAATATCCTAGGCTAAATATTCATGCCATAAGTTTTGTTATGGCGTGAATATTTATATGCATTTATATGAAATGTCCAGGAAGGTAAATCATAGACACAATCAAGCATATTAGTCGCTGGTGGGGCTGGAGCAGGGGAATGGTAGTGACTGCTTCATGAGTTCAAGGTTCCATTCTGGGACGACTGAAAATGTTTTGGAACTAGGTAGAGGTGATAGTTTTACAACATTGTGAATGCCACTAAATTGTATACTTTAAAATCATTAATTTTATGTTAGGTCAATTTCACCTCAATTTTTAAAAAATGACATCATATGGTTTTTGTGATCTCATAAGTGAGTGGCTTTGCTGTCATAGTTACCTTGTGACTGTTGGAACCCAGGTGCTTTATAGCATTGGTGCATTGGGAAAGTTCTTTCCACTGTGGGCAGGAAAACTTGAAGATGGATTATCACAAGTGGGTTTCTTTTTAATATAACAATTAAGGAATATGGTTTTGCCTTTTCAGTTTTATTTGTAGAAGCTGGTAAAACTTCTATCTTGAATGAGCCCTAGGTTTTAAAATGTAACCTAGTCTGATATTGGTTGGTTTCTTTATTTACTTTGAAAAAGCACATTTAAAATAACTATACTATTTAGAGATGGAACAGCTTCTGGTTTTATAAAAATTGAGAGTAATTTTTAAAAAAGAATCTAGGATATACATGTGGAGTTGCGGTAAGATTTTTTCTGATGGTTTGCTCTTCTGCATTGCTGGAGATTTTTGTGACACTCTATCTAAAACGGTCACAAGTGCTTTTTATTGTCAGTGGAATTGATGTCAGGAATAAGAAATTTCTGTTTTAGATCAATCAAGCAGAGCTCATGCAAAAACTAAAAACCTTAGTTTCTTATTTTATCTTACACTTGTTTTGTTTTTTGAAGGAGAGACTTTAGGTTAGGTTCTGGCAAAAAGCCTGAGATTGAAAAGCGCTTCTTACTGAGAAAGGTGGAAATGCTTTGCCATTGATAATGAAGCTTGTCTTTTTGACTGAAGCTGATGCGTCTGCCCCACAGCTTCTCCCCCTGGTTTACGTGGACTTGTTTCTCCAGCAGATGTATTTGTGCCAGTTGTCTTGCACACTCCCACCTGATTCCTGTTATGATCCAAAATATGACACTCAGGCTAAGAGTTTGCAGACATAAAGCAAACAAAACTAACTGGTTGTGGTAGATCGAACCCACAGCTTTTGGCATCATTAGCTCCATGTCCCAGTCAACAGAACTAGAGAGTGAAAGAATCAGTGCCTTGTTGAGTCAGAGCTTTGTGATTTTACAGTTAAAAGGAATCTGGTAAGCATAGCAAACTATCTGGAATAAATCTAATAAGCTGAAGTAGTGGGTGAATGTGAGCATTCAGCTTAAAATAACTATTGCTTCTGACTTCCATAAAATTAAGATTTCCTTTTTGTGATGTGCACTGGATAATTTTTTAAAATAAGAAAAGCTCAGTCTTTAAGTCCTGGAGAATTAAAAGTTAAGTTTTTCACCTTCGCTGGTGTGGCTCAGTGTTTGAGCACTGGTCTGTGAAACAAAGAGTCACTGGTTCGATTCCCAATCAGGGTACATGCCTGGGTTGTGGGCCAGATCCCCAGTGGGGGAGCGCATGAGAGGCAACCACACATTGATGTTTCTCTTCCTCTCTTTCTCTCTCCCTTCCCCTCTCTAAAAAATAAATAAATAAGATATTTTTTAAAAGTTAAGTTTTTCAATAAAGTATTAATCCAAAAAGAGCTAATTTAACCAGACATTGAGCTACTATACCACGACAGCAGTTGAAGGAAGTGAAATAGGTGGATGAGACTCACATGAGATTCCATTTACCCAGGGACCTCTGCCTATGAACAGTGATTAGTGTATTTCTTACCCAATTTACTTAATCTTTCTGTGCCTTAGTTTCTCTCTCTGGGCAACTGAATACTAGAATCCACCTCATAGAGTTGTTATAAAGATGGAATTAGTTGATGTGGTTAAAGCTCTTAGAACGGTGCCTGACGCAGAGTTAAACTGGCTATGTGTATGTTAAAGACGTAGGAATGACGGTGAAAGATGAACAGGAGCTACTTTGGTCAGGGGTGCTTTTTGGGGGGCAAACTCGTTTCCATTCGCAGATACCCATAGTCCCAACCCTCTAGGGCACTGATGCACTGTTCTGTTTGAAGTTCTGAGACCCTCTGGCACACTCTCTTTAGGGCTGTTTTACTGCTGATGGACATCTCAACCAAAGAAAATGCTTTGGGAAGGAAGTGATTTTAAGATTGCATGAAGCATCTCTGGTGGTTTGTTGAAGACTTAGTGACTGTCTAATTTTTTCACCAAGAGTTACTGTGTGTCCATCATTGGCACTGGGCAGAACGGGATGACACTGGAGTACCGGTCAGAAACAAAGATGAACATAACATCGTTTTTGGGCTGGAACTCACAGCTTAGACCATTTTGGTACCTCTAGATTCCATGGCAGCAAAACCCCAGGGCTGTGAATGGAAGAGGGTCAGAAAATAGTACGTCCTTGATGGTGCGCATCCTTGAAGCTGTAAGGCCACACAGGCCAGTTAATTTTGTCATTTCTGCTAAGCCATCTCAAACTTAGCTAGGAGGGAGAAATGGAAACTCATTTGTCAAAAGAATGTTAAAGTTACAGCTTTTAATGAATCACCTTGTTCTGATCCATTATCAGACAATTGAGTTTGCCTTTCTTCCATTTATATTTTTCATTTTCTACTAGCATTTTAAATAGTTTAAAATGGCTGGTTTGTATTCTAATGACCTCTTTTGACTCTCCCCACCATGTGGCTTTTCTGTGTGTGTGTATAGTTCTGGTGAAAACGAATTAGGAAAGGAGACTGATGAGATTGGATAACTCAGCTTCCTAGAATATACTTTATCTTTTTTTTCATGAAGTGATGATGTGCTGCTTCTTTTATAGGACTGAATTACAACTGCAGAAGCAACACCAAGTGAACCTTTGAAGATGTACACGGGCTGCATAAAGTGAAGAGACAAACTGGAGAAACTGATGAAGTAAGAAAAAAGTATGTTTCCCAGGTAAATAGTATGCTCCTGAATTTTAGCAAGTTTCTTGCTATAACAATTACCATAACTATTATAATTTAGTCCTTGTATTGTTGTTAAGCTGTTTTTAATTTTCTCCTTCAGTTTTTATTACTGAACTCTTTGATTACATGGTTCTTTTTAAAGTTAATCTAAACAATCTGTATTGAACATGGAATTTATGTTATTTCTTAGGTCATCTAGGGACTTGTTGCATCTAAGGTTGACCATTGGGTACTATAAAAGCAGAGGCATGTGTTGTGTCTCTGTGATGTGCAGCCTTAGTCCAAGGTCAACTTTTTGTTTGAGTGAAGAACTTAACACTTCTGCTTTATTAAATGACTGCCTTAAAAAACTAGAGCACTAGTTTGAGTACCAGGTTACCAAGCTACATTCTGCACTGCCCTCAGAAACAGGAGACATTTTTCAGTGCCTTCACTTGATGAAATAGATGTGTCCTAGTAAAGTTTTAGTATTACTTATTTTAGTTGGGAACTCAATTTATTCTGTTATTCAGCTATTTACAGACTTAGATCTTGGGGTTTTTGGTTGTTGTTGTCATCAACATTTTTTAAGTAAAGGAAATCTACTACCTTATGTTTCATTATAAAGTCAAGAGCCCTTTTCCAGTGTGCTGAGTAGAAATTTTGGGGAAAAATACAGAGGAAATTGAGTCAGAGTGATCAGTGGCAGTAATGCTGGGAGTTCTGTGCACAGCATTCTCACTTAGACATGGCAACATCGCTCCTTCTCCACAAGCCTGGGGCCACCCAGCTCGAGGGAAACTGTAGCTTCTGGAACTTCCCGCCTGAAGGTGGATTACAGCAGGGTTTACTGTTGGGTGTATGGTGTATTCCAGCTAACTCTTTCTTTAACTGAGTCATCAGGCTGAATAAAAACTATTTAGTGCTCTTGTATATCAGTCCTCCAAACTAAAAATGGCATAAGACAAGTTTATTTGCAAGTGAACTTGCACACACATTTTCTAATGCTCATCATTACGTTGACTCCTGTCTCAGATCTCCTCCCGGACAGCTGCACGGTGCCTGCCCTCCTCCTCCTCCTCCATCGGGTTTCTGTGTGGGGCCAAAGTTGACAGGAAGGCCAAAGCCAGTTTTCTGTTATATCCGTGTCTTTACCCAGTACCTGGCAACACGGAGCTGTCTTGCCTACCTCCACCTTACCTCATTTTCCCCATTCCACTCCTACCTGTCAGGTATGATGTTGTACTTACTCTACACATCATGCTTTTTCTGTTTTTCACCTTTAAGATCTTTTTCATATTAACCTTTCACTCTTCAAGGCACATACCATTTAACTCAGCAATTGCATTTCTAGGAATTTATCTCACATATAAGCTCATGCAGTTATGCAGGTACTCCTGAACCTCCTCAGCCTCTGTTCCACCCTCACGCATGCTTCCTATCTCACAGCACTTAGACGGAGACTGTCTCGTCCACAGGTCATGTCTGCCTTCAGAGGCAGCAACTTCCGCCAGTGTCTTGTGGTCTTTCCAAAGTATTTTGGTTTTTCCTTTCAGAATATCTAATTCCTTCCTTTTAAAAAAAGTTCCTCTGAGTTGTTTTGGTTGGTTGTTTCTCAAGATTATTTCGTTGTATGTTTATTATTTATTTTTATTTTTTTTAAGATTTTATTTATTTTTAGACAGATGGGAGGGGAGGGAGAAAGAGATGGAAAGAAACGTCAATGTGTGGTTGCCTCCCACGTGCCCCCCACCTGGGACCCGGCCCACAACCCAGGCATGTGCCCTGACTGGGAACTGAACCAGCGCCCCCCTAGTTCACAGGCTGGCTCAATCCCTTGAGCCACACCAGCCAGGGCTATTTTTATTTTTTTTTGCCAATGCTTAAATTTTTCTCTATTCTTCCCCCCTCCCCATAGGCTGTAGATTTTTTTGTGTAGAGATTTTGGTACATTTTCTGACTTCCTTGTATCTTGTAAGCTGTGTTGGATTTTGTCTTCAGTTTGGCTAATCTTGAAGATTCTATAACTTACGTGTGAATTTGTCACCTTTAATTTATGGTTAATAGTACATTGGTTATGTTTTCTGTATACCATCTGTTTCTTAATTTTTATATTTCTTGTCTCTTTTCTGTTATATGGAATGTTTTCTTCCCTCCTTTTCAGCTTAAAAAATTTTAAGGGTGAACAAACTTTTGAATTCTCTTATTGCTAAAAATAACATTTGTTTCTATATTTATTTACTATCATTAAAGCAAAAACAGAACTTCCCTTTCCTTTTATACAAGGAAACTCAATTTCTCCCTGTTTTGGCATCCCCTCTTCCTAGTCCATATCTACTCCCACTACTATTTCCTTTGTCATTTTATATTTGCTCAATGAGATGTGCTAATTCTTCTGAGCTTCAGCCTGTTATTCATAAGCATTTTGCTATCCTTGATTTAGTGAACAACCACAGAGGCCTCACTCTGAGCTGGACTAACACTGAGCTAGGTGCAGGAGCTACAAAGATAAAGGCAGTCTCTTCCTGCCTCCAGGCCCCCTTTCTGGTTGAGGAGGTGGCATGCATGCAGATCAACAGTGGCAAAAGGTGTGATGTGTCAGGTGTCCTGGAGACGCAGAGCGGGGGAAAGCGGGAGTAATGTTTGTTGAGTCAGCGAAGGCATCCTGAGAGCTGAGTGCCACTGTACCTGTAGGGCTTTGTGAGATCATGGATAGGGCTGAAAGTACCCAAGTTCATTGCCCAAGTTCATCAAAGCTTCAAGCTACCAAGTGGCTGGAAATGAGACTGGGCAAAGGGATGTTGAGGCCAGATGGTCAGGCACCTTGGATGCCTGGCAAACAAGTTTCAGTTTGTATCCTGTGGGCTACACCACAAAGGCTTTAAAGCAGTGTAGTATCATGCTCAACTTTGATTTTAGAAAGCGGACTCTGCCATGTGAAGCACTGGAGGGAGAAAGTTAAGTGGCTGGGGCAGTCATCCAGGTGAGGGGTGATAGACCTTGAACGAGGTGGTAGCAATGGTGATGGAGAAAAGAAGATGAGGTATTTTGAGGCAGTGTAAAAATTCTAGTGTTTGATTCAGGTGATATTGGGAATTCAAGGATGACTCAGAGGGTTTTCTGTTTGTTTGTTTGTTTTAGGGAAGGTAATAAAAGATGGTGGAAATATTGACCAAATTATGGAGGGGGGTAAAGTATGTGGAGGGGGTAGAAGAAACTGATTTGAAGAGAGACTGAGAAGAGTTTATTTTAGGGTTTGGTAAATTTTAAGAAACCTTCAAAAGATCTAGGAAAACATATCTAGGAGCAGTCAGTAATAGGGCCAGAAACAGGTGAGACTTGGGGGCTGGAGATAAAGGTGTGAGATGCACTTTCCCCAAGGAGGATGTCAAAGCCATGAGAGTAGATATAAAGTCCTCTGCAGACCCCAGGCAGAGCATGTAAACAGAAAGTAAAAGGGCTCAGGATGGCTTCTCAGCAAAAACTGGTGTTTATGTGTAGGAAATAGAAATGTACTGAGCACTGGAATACATGTCCAGTGTGGGGTCGCGAGAGCTTTTTCAAATGGCTTACTTTATCTTCTCAATAGCCCTGTGTATGGATGTTATTACTACCCTCCTCTTAGCCAGGACACTGAGACTCCAAGGTACCAAGCTAGTAAGTGGGATTGCACACCAGGCCTGGATGCATGTAAATGCTAGGGGAGGAGGTGAGGCAGAAGCAGAACAGAGTGGTGTAGAAGAGATGACTTACTATAAGGGATGGTAGCCAGCAGTGGCCAGCAGTGGCTGTACACCCAGAGGTCCAGGTGGGTAAGGAGGGGCTGAGCCACTGTTTTTGGCAACTGGAGAACGGATAGTAATCCCAGCATGCTCAGTTCCCACTGTGTGCCTAGTTAGCTCTCATGGAAATTAGGGAGCTGAGGGAGTGTGGACAGCGGCTGTTGACTGCAGCTCTTGGGACAGCTTATGGTGCAGGGACGACAAGGGCACCTGGTCTTGGTGTGTGTGTGTGGGCGGGGGCAGTGGCATCATTTTGTTTGTTTACAGAAGACAGCTTGAAGTATTCTGATTTGCTCATCCTTTTCTTCTTTTTTAAAAATATATTTTATTGATTATGCTATTACAGTTGTCCCATTACCCCCCCTCCATTCTCCTCCACCCTGTACACCCTCTCCCACCCACATTCCCCCCCTTTAGTTCATGTCCATGTGTCATAAGTTCTTTAGCTTCTACATTTCCCATACTATTCTTACCCTCCCCCTGTCTATTTTCTACCTACTATCTATGCTACTTATTCTCTGTACCTTTTCCCCCTCTCTCCTCTTCCCACTCCCCCACTGATAACCCTCCATGTGATCTCCATTTCTGTGGGTCTGTTTCTGTTCTAGTTGTTTGCTTGGTTTCCTTTTGTTTTAGGTGTGGTCATTAATAATTGTGAGTTTGCTGTCATTTTACTATACATGTTTTTTTTATCTTCTTTTTCTTAGATAAGTCCCTTTAACATTTCATACAGTAAGGGCTTGGTGATGATGAACTCCCTTAACTTGACCTTATATGAGCAGCACTTTATCTACCTTTCCATTCTAAATGAAAGCTTTGCTGGATAGAGCAATCTGGGGTATAGGGCCTTGCCTTTCATGACTTGGAATACTTCTTTGTAGCCCCTTCTTGCCTGTAAGGTCTCTTTTGAGAAATCAGCTGACAGTCTAATGGGAACTCCTTTGTAGGTTACTGTCTTCTTATCTTTTGCTGCTTCTAGGATTCTCTCCTTTATTTTTACTTTGTCTAATGCAATTATGATGTGCCTTAGTGTGTTCCTCCTTGGGTCCAACTTCTTTGGGACTTTCTGAGCTTCCTGGACTTCCTGGAAGTCCATTTCCTTTGCCAGAATGGGGAAGTTCTCCTTTATTATTTGTTCAAATAAGTTTTCCACTTGTTGCTCTTCCTCGTCTCCTCCTGGTACCCCTATAATTCAGATGTTGGAACGTTTAAAGATGTCCTGGAGGTT